TCAGTAAATGTGTATGTAATTCGATGCCTGTATGATATATAAATTGTAGTTTATTATAAACTAATAAAAATGAAAACTCTCGATAATTCGAATTACTAAAATATCCAGATACTGTAAACATAAGAATGTATATATACATATATATATTTATATAAGAATCGATACAATTGATAAACTTACTGCTGCAAAAATAGTCTTAATTTGAAATGAAACTTTACAGTTTGTTTTAAGTACCTCGTTAATTAAACCTTATTTTCGTCTATCTCACTCAATACTAAAAGAAGTTGATATATTTTATAAAAGTGAAAATTTATGGAATTACATCTAAAAGATATACCATAAAGTGAAAAGGTACGTTTTATCTGGAGACTGTACATGTAATTGATAACAATGTGAGAACTCTGCATTAAATGTCTTGGTATTTTGAAAATCTTATTTTAAAAATAATATAAAAGAATATTTATTAATACATAAAAAGAATATTTATTAATACAATAAATATAAATACAATTAACATTTTAAAAAATTATACAAAATAAAACTAAATAATTATACTAAAATATGTAGTTTTTTAAATTAACCAAATAATTGGATGAAATATTATGTTAAATAAAATATGTATGAAAGATCTTTTCTCCATCTTTAAATTATAATGAATTTAATTTATCTAATGATCTCGGAATAAAGGAATCACTAAAACAAGTATATGGTGACTATTTTATCTGCAAACGTTGTGCTGTGGCTTTCTAGATTGTATGGAATATATTTGTGGTATTTAGAATCATTGGTATATGCGAATAAGCTGATAACGATTTCAACGTCAGAAGTTGCAGAAAATTGCAGCTCTGTGATGGAGTCTTTAGAGTTTTATTTAAGCATGAATAAACCGAGAATTGTTTTAATCATTCAGGCCACAGAATTATATATCAAATAAAAAACATTTTCTTCATTTACATAAATTATGTTGATTTTCTTTCAATTTTTAATCTTACCCTTCTTAAATAAACTTCCTTTGTTTCAAATTTCTAAATTGATATTCTAATAACCTAATCAACTTTAGTCCCTCAGCGCCACTGTGTTGTTTGACCTATTTGTCAACAGAATACTCTTCATACTTAGCACTTAAGATCAAATGTTGTTAAATGCATTAACTGCTCTTGGTCTTATCAGAATAGTTGAATTTTCTAACTCTCTCACAGTTTTTTCACTAAGATATTAAATTAGTATTTATAGTTCCAGAACCTATTTCTTTTAAGCGACATGTAACTAAATAAAAAGACCCCATAAAACACGTCAGATGAATTTAATGCATGATAAGTATAGATAATATATTAATTGAAAAGGAAGATAAAAAGTTAAGAGAATAAATGTAACAAAATCATTGCAATTTTTGGTTACAATAATTATTACAAATTGTAATAATATTTATTGTTACGATGAATCTATAAATGTGCCTATAGATCTCTGCAAAATTTGGCAAATAACACCCTCACTGAAAAATGGTTACAAATACACGCAATAATTCCTGTTCTTCTAGACCCTGTCCATATGTGAGTTTTCTCGTTCTTTTGTATAAATAAATTATATAAAATATATGAATTATATACATATTCAGATAATTAAACCAATGAAATTTTTCTTTAATACAATAGAGCACTAAACACTCAAAAAGTGACAATATTAATACATTATTAAAATTATATATTTAGGTCTTTTTCTTTTAAATGTATTATTTTGATTTTAAATTTAAATATATACGTATTTAAAATATTTTTAACACGTATATATAGATTTTTCTTAGTTAAAGCAGAAGATTTGAAACATATTGTCACAAATTTTTACAAGAGTGTGCGTACGCCGGTGCCGTCAGTGTGGCTTTTTCTAACTTAAGCAATTTAATAGGTTTTATGGTAAATAAAAATAAGCATAATATACACATATATTCTATAAACACACAAATTTCCTAAATGATAAACGAAAATCACGCTCTATAAATCTCTTATTATGTCCATCCTACTTTATACTGCAGAAACTTGGACAGTAACCAAGAATAGACCAAGTTCAACCAACTAAGTACATATTTTTTTGTTTAAGTATTCAAAACATTATGTATGTAATATACATACTTCCATAATATAAAAATTAATAGAATAAATGGGATACTGGAGTACTGGAATACTACGACCACAGCTTATATTTTGTGCTACTAACCTGAACCTATCCTATCAGAAGCTATCCCACTTTTTAATAAAGACGGAAATGTCAATTGTTCAATATATCCTTATATCAGATAAAGATAGATCAAAGTCGTGCAAAAAATGTAAATAGAAGTTTTGTCTGCTATCAAGTCTGGGATAAGACCCTCCAGTTCTGTGATCATCAAACCAAGCAAAGGCGCCATTCTGTATGCAATTGACTAACTTTGTTCGTTAAATAAGACAACAGGAAAAAATAACTAATTTAAGTGAATTTAGTACAGAATGATTTTATTATATTTAGTAAAAATAATTTATTAATTATCCATAAACCTTACTGAAGAAGTAGTAGCGACTAGTATATCAATAGTTCAGTTATTATCTTTGAAATTCTTTGGTATTCTTTGGTAAATTTGTTTATATACATAGCAAAACTCTTAAAAGTCTTAACACTATATTCTTGTTTAGAAAATTTATTTTCTACTTTACTTTATTTTATATAAGAATCATGAATCACTTATTTGTTTCGATATATTAAACAGGAACTCTCTAAATATTGTCCATGTATAGTTTTGCCAACTTTTGATACAAAGTCTCTTTTGATGAGGGATTGTTTAAAAACTATTTCTAAGTTTATATGAGTATATTTAGTTGAAAAAATAAATTAAATTTAATAGCTGAATTATATTAGCGGTGGGCTTGAACCACAAATCCTCTCTATCCTCTATATAATCCTATGTACAAATAAAAAATGTCTAGCACGTGCTAAAACATTCGATAACTATACTAATCATTAATAAACAATCAAAATTGTTTCTTAGTCAATAATTATAATAATAATATGTAAGAACAAAGTGTATTAAATGAGCAGATTGAATCCGAAGTTTGTGAGAATCTACATGCACAGAAAACAGACTTCTTCTATTGTAATGTTCTAGTCAGTACCCGCATATATACAAACAAAAAAAAAGTCTTTTAAGAGTATAAATTATTCTTTCTATTTTGGAGCAAAACACACGTTAGGAGACTGGTAAAGATATATGTAAGGTTATTATTTACAAAGAAATAGTTATGCAGTTAGAAATGGCCTATAAAATTCCTGCACAGATAAACTTAAGGGATCTTCCAGAAGTGTTTTAAACATTACTTCCGAGTTGGAAGGAAGTAGCATAATTTATTTCAACTATTTATTATTATTGTTTTATTAGTTTATTATTACTAATTTATTATTTTTATTATTAAAACGAGCTAATTAGTGAAAAATTATACTTCATTCTCAACAATATTTCAATTATAGTTGTAATGTTGGTAAAAATAATATATAATTTTTAAAAATAATTCAAAAAGTTGTGTATTATTTGAACAATTCAGTAATTAGCTAGTTGAAAAGATAAATGTAATATATGTTTTATTAAATAATTATAAACAATTTTTCATTGTTCTGACAATCATTGTATTTTAATTGGTTTTCACACACTTTTTCGAATAGAGTTATTTAATAAATGGGATTTAAGAATGAATTGTCTTATCACATAGTTTTTTTACACACATACACACACACACACACACACACACACAGGCAATGTAAAACAGTTCATTCAGTTCTCATGTGATCTCAAGCAAGAGTAAAGATTGATTTAATTATTATATGTGAATTAATCTAGTATGTCCAGGTACACACTATACTAATTGATGAGGATTAATCTAGTTATTTTTGCGTAAGGATACATAAACGTACGAATAAAGAATTTTTGCTTGCATTGATTTAGTCATCTTTTCAATGGCTACAAAAGTAGTTAAATGTTTAATTCTAAAAATTGTAGTGTCAGGAAGGATTAAATCTAGTGTGTCCAGGCATAATGTGAAAAAAAAATTCTTGTAAGAATAAAAGAAATTTATTTGATGAGTAAATTATGAAATCTGTCAATTTGTGAAAATAACAGTTATTAATTTAACTTATAATTGGCATAATAGTGACTATATTTAACATATTTTTTTGGTTTACTTCCGCAACACAATAATTAGTAGTAATAGGCTTCACTATTTTATTTTTAGATATTTTGTATTAAAAAGCAACTTAATTATATATATAAAAGTATAATTATATATATAAAGCTTAGAGCTATGACAATTTAGTCACTTGCCGCAATACTAAGTATTATAATATATACCTTTTTTTTTCATTTTAATTATGTCCATCATTATTTGTAAAAATGGTTGATCTCATCTTAAGGACATTGCAAAAAAAATTTTTCAGTTTTTATTAGGACATTCGGTTTTTTTTTTATCAATATTGATAATAATTGTTAAGTACATTCAATTATGTAATAAATACATTAAGTGTAATTTACTTACATTTAGATTTCTGGTTGCATGCAGTTTGGCTTATATGGCCAAACGCTTAGTACAGACAGACGTCACTAATCAGTGGAGGTTATGTCATATGCCATATGATTTTCAATGCTAATACCTACCATATCAGCTCCACATTATTCGTCGTATAAAGGAGATAATCGTGTTATTTTTTATTTACCTTAATAAATTACACATTTACATCATTAGGCACTCGAAAGTATATATGTGACCAATCAGTAATTCCTTCTGATTAAAGGCTATTCGGTTGAATTAAGGACATATGCCTTTTGAGCGCTAAGATGCAAAAGTGTAACTATATTAAAGATGTACTTAAAATCAATTAAAGGATATTTTATATAAATATAATAATAAATATTATTTTATATGGAAATATAAAATACAATATCGTTTTGTAAGGTTGAGTTTAAGTTTAAAATATTTATTGCTTACCCTTGCTTCTACAAATGTTCCATGATTTTGTGTTATTGTAATTAAATATACGGCAAATATTATAGCCCACAAGTAAGTTAGAGTGACTCGTCTATGGGAACTTACTCCCGAGAGACCACTGTGGCCTCCGGGTGCACGCATTACAAACATGCGTCAATCAACCGCACAGCACAAATATAACGTCTTTAATTTTGCTTAAAAGCTTCGTTTCAACAAATGATTTTTAATTATTTTTCCTATTTGCAATTATCTTCAGCTAAATACATTTGTATAAAAGATTTAACGTTTCTTTAACTGTAAAATATGAGAAACAAAACAAAAAAATTGTAAATAAATTGAATAATTTTAGAACTAAAACGCACGTTTAGAAATGCACTTATTAGAAATCTATTTGCATATTAATATAAAAATTTTTAACTCTTTAATAAAATATAAAGAAATATTATAAATAATTATTCTGAAAAAATATTAAAGGAAAAAAATTTTATTTAATATTAAAAAATGTTGAAAAATTTTGAAAAATTTTGAAAAATTTAAAACATCTTATTTGTTATTTAAAACTAACGCGTCTCGACAACGTAGACGATCACAACAAAATGCTTTTTTCGGTGATCGATCGTCCTACACTCTCCCTACATGGAGATCGACAAACGTTCGAAGTATTACTAAAGACGAGGCAACTAAAAGATGTTCGTGCTACTCAGATTTGTTGGCTGCACAACAAATTGCTAATGCCATCAAACCAACCCATACATCGTCAGATACACAACACACAATGGAACTTAAGCACATCGAAAACCAAAACCAAAACCGAAACCGAAACCAACAACCAGAAAATGCTTAAATGCTTCAAACGACAATATTAGTCCAGCATAAAACATTTAAGCTAAATTGCAAGAGTGTTCGAACAGGCCTGAGATTGTATTTTTTTAACGTTCTGATGTGTTAGTAGAAGAGAGAGATTCAGTTGCGAGACCTAACTAGCTGCTTAAAAGATGATCGTTTGAATGTGTGAAGTTACCATAAAAAATAAAAAAAAATTCACCTAGTATTATCATCTAGTGAGAAATCGAATAATGGGGATATTGGATCGAGCGGAACTCGAGCTCGAGTTCCGTAATTTTGCCTTGAATGCAAAGATGATTTAAGTTCGTTAGTTTGAGATTTCATAATCAATTAGTTTACAAGACCAAAATTAATATGCCTAGCATTTTGAGATGCTGAAATCATCCATAAAACAGATAAACTATATAGTATCTACGCCACCCTTCTAATGCCCTTGCCACATGAGTAAATTGCTAGTACTTTTTACAGTTACAAAAGCAATAATATATTACATATATGTATACATATATATTTTAACATATGTATAAATATATATATATATATTATGCACAACATATATATATACATATATATATATATATATAAATATATAAACATCTATACATAAGTAAAAGATTAGCAGAAGGTTTGTTTCAGTTTATAAATTTTATTTATTATTAAAAATTCTGATTTCTTTACTTAAGAACTGATAAGGCGGATATTGCCTGCCGTTTCCGTTATTAAAAACAGAAAAAATGTTTATGTAATAAAAAATCTGAGCTCAAGTTTCTGTGGAATTGAGCCTTTAATTATTTCAGTCTAAAAGAATAAATTTTTTTTTGTTGTTCTTCATAATATTATATGTTCTAATTATACCATTTGAGGTCACTTTTTTCTTATGTAGTTTTTTGAAAGCTAGAAGATTTAAAGATTTCTATTTCAAAACATAATTTAACCCACTAAAAAGTTATCAGGTTAAATAATTCTATAATTCTACTAAAACAAGTTCCACATTTTTGTATATGAAATGTCATAGAAATATTTAATTCCGCGCTTTTTTTATAGTAGAAAATTTATGAGAACAAAGGCATGCCAAGGAAATCATGCACTCATAATAATAACTTTAAAAATTTTTTAAATATTGGTTTATCTTGCTGTTTTTTATAATTTACTCACCTAGATTCGAAATCGAATACATATATATATATATATATATATATATATATATATATATATATATATATATATATATATATATATACATCCGCGTATTTAAAATATAAATAAAAATTCCTTGACATTATCAAATAGGGATGAATATTTTAAATATGTCTGGAATATGTACGTAAAATGGTTGTCACTACGGTACTTTTAGACCACTATGATGCCACCGTATCTTAATTAAGAAAACTCTCAACGCGCCCTATATCTGGAAGTAGTGGTGGCTACAATACTCTGAGACGGCTTTTATAACAGTGAATATCAATGAAGGAACTTCTCAACACACTTCATATCTGATAGCACTCAATCTTAATGAAGAAATATCTTAACGCTCCCCATAATACCAACCACAAAGCCAATTTACTTTATTTTAAATCTTAAAATAATTACCCCCAGATAATTTAAGAACGGTTTGTCTAGCATACTCATATTAATTATGCTTAATAGAGGATAACTATAGCTATAGAGGACAAATTCAATCATCATCTTCTTCTCGTCGTCATAGGAGCTGCTTCAAAAATCATTTTACCAAACACAAAGCCTTGTATAGCATCAAAATTATATATTTTGTTTTTTAATCCTTTAACTTCTAGGACCGCTCTTCAAAATAATAACCTCTAGATAATTCAGGATCGGTTTTAGTACTATACTCATACGAGTTATGCTTAATACTGGATAATAACAGAAGCAAAGTCAAAAATTTCCTACTCCTCGTCATCATAGCAGCTTCAGCAAAAATCATTATGCCAACCAAAAAGCCTTGTAAAGTCTCAAAGAAATATCCTTTAGAAATTTGAGGATCGCTTTCAATAGTTTACTCATAAAAGTTATGCTTAATTCTGGATAGTACCAGAGGACACGCTTAATCATCTGCTTCTCCTCGTTATCATGGCAGCTCCTACAAAAATCATTATAGGAAAATCATAGTATCGCAAAATACCTGTCTATCAGAAAATGATATATTATCAACGCTATGACGATGGCAAGATTACGTCAATTAAGCTGACATAGATATTTTATTTTATCCGTCCATTTCTGACTGCATTATAAGTTATTTTTGTGAGTTCAGATATTCCTCCACTTGGCGTACGTGACCTATGTCGATATATTTTTTAGTTTTTAAAGGTAGGAAACCTTACTTGTAGTTTACAACTTCATAAATCAATCTATCCTCTTCATTCGTTGTATGTCTTTAACGAGAATACAGACACAAATACTTTTGAAAATAACTGTTTTAGGAAGACTACTTACAAATTCGCATTTTGCATTCAGTTCAGAATATAATTGGGGAACGTATGAAGAAGTATCCAAAGTATGACTCGAAGATGCTGTCAGACCACGTACTCCACCGAACTGTAAACATTTGGGACTGATTACTAACAAATTACAATTGAAAATTCCTGATAGTATACGTCTTGAACGTCTTTAATTTTTGAATCAAGTTCTTCTTGTAAGGACCTAAGTTAAGAAATTTGACTAAATTAAATTGAAGAAAATTTAATCGATCAATTGAAGTCTTCTGATGTTGATCTCAATAAAGGAAATAGTTTCATTTATACTTTTGATGGTGACTAAATTTTCAAAATAGTAAGCGTACTGGAAAATTGTTAAACGTTTTCCGAATACCCAAAGCAATTATACATAGGGCCCTAGGTAAAATAAGTACTTGAGCCACTAAGTATTAACCCAAAAAATACTGAACTAATGCTATTCATAACTTATATCAAAATACCTTCTATTAAAGTACCTTTATTAGATTGGTAACGGAATAAAATATCAGAAATAACTCTCTCATAAGAGAGGTGTGTTACTTAATTGCGATTTATTTCAAGGACAAATGATTAATGTTGCACTTTTTGTGTGCAACCAAATGGTAATCACAATCCCTTAATTCTCAATTATAAAATTAAAGCTAATTAAATCGTGCAGAGGCGATATTGAGAATTAGTCGATTAGCTGATATCACTCCTACCTGGATTCAGACGGTTTAAGCAGCCGTCTTGCTTCCCTGTATGTACCGCTAGATGTACCAATCTATATTTCTCTGGCACTTAAATCATATTAAACTAAAACATGCGTAACTTACAGAGATACCGGAGTGCCGGGCAACGTCACCTTCATTGTTACATGAACTTTGATCTTGGGAACTTATTAAAAGGAATCACGTGAATACTGTGGGGCCTATTGCATTTCTTTGTAGGTAATTCTGTATAGTGATCAGTGAAAGAATCTGCGCATATATTTTAATAGTCATTGTAGGTGTTGTGAAAACATAAGAAAATGCGACAATCAAGATTTTTACCTGTGAGATAAGCAGAGCTTTGGTTTCTAGGCAGACATGGTTTTTAGGGAAGTACTTGGTAACTACAAAAGATTTGTTAAATAGACTTAATCGATACTGATGGATCTAGTTTTTATCATTTTAGGTTTCTTTCGAGAAATGTTATAGTTAAACAGTGAATAATTGCTAATTATAGGTAGTCGAAGGATATCTGCCAAACTGTCACTAGAACCAAACCATCAACTGATTTTATAATATTTTCACAATATTAGATTTTCATTAAATAAAATATTATGGATAGAAAAAGCATAATTTTATTAAATCGAAGGATGTTATATACAGGGTGTACTAAAAGTTTCTCATTACTAACAAAAAATCTCAATATGTAATAGTTAAACTATTGTCGGCCTTAGGTGGAGGTCAAAAATAAATATTTTTAATTACAGTCATACTCAAGCTCTAAACTCATGAGTTTTTTTTTATGTTTATACTATTTAAATGTATATTATATGCAACTGTGTGCAAAATGCAGTAGTGAGATCATTTAATGTATTTAACATCCGTTCAAACTGAGTAAGAATCACTAAGTTTGTAACAAAACCATACAATATGATACTGAGAAAATATCATTATTATGTATCAAATATTAACATCGTTATATGTTTTCCAAAATTTTGATCCATCTTAAAATATTTTGTTGAACCTGTTACAGTACACGTTCTAAAACTTAGTCTATTAAGCCAAAAATGTTTATCAAATATCAGAACCTTCCTAACTTTCTAGAGTATAAAATATGAGAAATAAAGTGTTCACGTAATCCAGGGTTTACTTCAGCCAGGATTTAAGTTTTGGGACGTCCACATTACTTACTTTTTAATATAAAATTTTAAGTTCTTCTTTAGCAATATTTACTATATGTAATGTAATGTTCTTGCGAAATTAAGATTCTCCTAACACTTGACACAAAAATAATGTTTATGAACATCTTGAATGAAGAAACTCAGAGAGAAGCTGGCCAAAAGTCCACACAAGTACTAAAAAATATATAAAGAGGTATATATCTATATATATATAGAGGTATATATATACGTATTGCTTCGTTAAATGCAATATTAAAGAAATCAATGGACTCCGTTTATTGGATTCTCTAGGTATATCGAGACTTTTTTACTTGAAACCTAAAAAAAGACTAATTGATAGCCGAAAAAAGACTATCATTTATAATATATGCGATTATGTTAGGTAATGTTAGAATAGTAGTTGTACACCAAAAGCCACTTGACCTCAATTAATGGCCCGATATTATATCACTGTATATATGGAATT